AAAAAAAAAAAGAAAATGTATGTTACCCTCAGACAAATCCCTGTTTGAAAAACAACAACAACTGAACAGAAACAGTCTTTGTAACTGATAATTGGTCAAACATACTCTGGTGTAGATATGGGAAAATACAAAAATGATGAAAATCTCACTAACCAAAGCAATGTAGTAATTTGTAGATCCTGGATTTTACTTATCATCTAATAATCCAACATTTTAAAATAATTTGAGCAAATACTTAAGTGTTCCTATAGCATTTGCCTAATACCTTAATGCTTAGCATTGTTCCAGCACGATGGAGTTGCTCAGTAAGTGGTTGCTTAAACTCCTCAAAATACTTTTGCTTACTTTGGGTGGTATGCCAGTTACAATGTGGGGGAGGGGGAAATGCCCCAAAGGCTTGTTTTTAAAGCTTCTGTCTGACAAGGAAAAAAACCACATTAACAAAGTAAAGCTACAAACTGTATCAACACCTGTAACACATAACAAACGGCCAATTTCCCTAAGTTGTAATTTGGTATTACAAATCAATTAAGAAAAAGCAAAACAGTAGAGTAGAAATATAGTCAAAGTATGCAACAGTGCTGTCCTTTCCAACAAACAAAAGCTAAGAAATACAAATTAATATAATTTCTTTTGATTTATTGAATTGGCAAGGATGAAAAGATTGGAAAATACCTAGTGGTGGCACCAGTATGGGGACCCAGGCACTTTTACATATTATGAAAGAGTCTTAAGAACATGACTTTTCCCAAGGCAATGGTCTACCTCTAGGAATTTGACTTTCCAACAGACTCGAAGTCATAGAGATTATGCACTACAAAGTGTTATTATATTGTTTTGTATTTACAAAAAAACAAAGTCATTTGTAACTGGTTTAAGTAGATACAGCGGGAATTCTTAACTGGTAAGTAGATACAGTGGGAATATAAAGCCATTAGAAAGAATGGCAAACTATACATATTGATACTATTCTACAGTAACAGAACAGTATCAATGGAGATATTTATCTTGAAGATATTTACCCATTTATAGTATAATCCCTTTCGTGTAAATAAAAATACACATTTATATACATGTGTATTATTAATGAGCAAAAAAATTCTCATAAAACAGTGGTGACCAGAGAAGACTCTATTGAGAGTGAATTTAAATTTACTTAATATATTTACTTTACACATATATACTACATTTATATACACATATAAATCTACATATATACTTCCATTTTTAACCTTTTAAAGTGGCAAACAAAAAATGACATACAGTAGGAATATAAACTGGTACAGTATTTCTGGATCAAGAACCTTAAAAATGTTCATACCCTTTGACACTATAATACCACCCCCAAGAATCTATCCATAATAAATGTAGGAAAATATTTATGTACAAGGATGGTCACAGAATATAATTTATGATAATGAAAAACTGGAAACTACTGATTACAGGACTGCTGAAATCACATAGAGCCGTTAAGAGTAAGAAAGCTAACAGAATACACTGCAGTTATAAAAAATGATATTTAGAGGATTGTTTAACATACGGAAGTGGTCATGACACAATATGATGTCATGATGCCACATTTTTTATACAGCATACTACCAATTTTGTTTTTAGAAATATGCTTAGATAAAACTCTGTTAGGTAATCAGAGCCTCCCCCCAACCCCCCATATATTTTAAAGCTCCCTTTTCCCTTTCTTCCCTGAAAGAACAGCTGCTGTCTGCTGCAGGTGTTTCACCACCCACTGGTCAAACCCTTCAGTCTTGCCTTTTCCACATCACACTCCAGAAGTTACTTATAATGATCTAAAACGGAGTCGAAAAAACTGAGTTTTTCAGTTCTCATCTTCCAATTTTTCTGTAGCACTTAGTGTTTGTGTCCAAACTGTTTTATCTTTTTTATTGGTCTTGCTTACTGGTTCCTTCTCCTTTTGTTAGGCCACCTTCCTACCACTTAAATACATGCAGGAGCTAGTTCAGCCGCGTTTCCCCACAGTAATCTTACCGCATCTTAGGTTCCACACTCTTGCTTTAGGCCAGAGCCATGATTTTAATTGAGAAATGAATACAATGCATCTTTTTTTTTTTCTTTTTTTTTTTT